CTGGCAATAATAACTATTCATAATTTATATTAGGGGTATCTACAGGAGCCCCAAAGATGAACTGCACAAAGTAGGAATGGCAAGTGACAATACTTAGCATCTATTTTTTTTTCTGAGCTTCACATTGAGTGAATGGTATTCTACCTTATAAAACCAAAAAGGACGATAAACGGGGAAGGAATTTTTCCCAGGAAGACACACAAGCCCACAAGAACTGCACGCACAGCTAGCAATTATGTTGGAAGCACGGCCTAAAAATGAGAGAGTTCCTCTTGACTCTATGGACTCATATTTATCCCACAAAAGACACGGAGACAGTTAGGATCCTTGGTGCAGGAATACTGGTGGAAGGGCAAAACCTATTTCACATCTGGGTCTGAGGTGGCCCCGGTAAGGGAGGTTTGGGACACTAAGTTCTCCAGGTTAATGGTAGTGCCTGGAGTCGACAGGGCTGTGGAGGAGGCATCTGCAGCCCATACTAAAAGAACTATTTCTCCTCAGAGAAAGCACTATTCACGGAAATAACTGAAAAAAAAAAATGCAACCTTTGAGGGCTTCCCTGGTGGCGCAGTGGTTGAGAGTCTGCCTGCCGATGCAGGGGACATGGGTTTGTGCCCCAGCCCGGGAAGATCCCACATGCCATGGAGTGGCTAGGCCTGTGAGCCACGGCCGCTGGGCCTGCGCGTCCCGAGCCTGTGCTCCGCAACGGGAGAGGCCACAACAGTGAGAGGCCCGCGTACCGCAAAAAAAAAATAAAAAAGCAACCTTTGGGACAATAGTTGCTTTGGGGTCTGTCTGATAGGCTCTGAGCAACTACTTCTGTGGAAAGTGGATGAAAATGAAAGAAGATGCTGATGTGGTCTAGGACTCAGGTGGGATACCCAGGCCTGATAACCAACTTCCAGAAGAAGGGATGTGAAGGTGAAATCTCTTATTTTTTTTTAAAAAAGTGGGGTAAGCGGTTTGTAAGAGTAACCAATGGCCCAGAGACATTTATGACAAAAATGTGGGAACAGTGTGGCAGAAAGAAACCCTAAAGCTCAATGACTGAGTCACACTCCAGGGGTATCCTGCCCGATGGTTCCCCATGATCAGCTCAACCACTAAATTGCAGCAAAGGGAGGAAGGACAGCTAGTCTACTTCATGGAGCCTCAATTTTGTCACATGTGTACAACAATCATTTCTACACACAGGTTTGTTTACAAGGATTAAATAAGATCACAGCAGGACTAGTAGATGCTTTTCCTGAGACCAGGGCCAATAGTACCTTGGCCTGGCTAAATAACGTGTAATGGTCTGCATTCTAGTATAGAAAACACATGTGCTCTGCAGCTATTCCTGTAACTGAATGGGACGTGAGTTCCATGCCCCCGCCTATTTTTAGCATTTTTTTGGTTTTATGATTTGTCCTTATTGCTTGCTTACTTAAGGAAACCCATTTCATCACGGCCTGAGAAAAATGTAGTACTCAAAAATGTTTATAGCAATACAATACTTTTTATAATGCTACAATGACATTTGGGCTGATTGTGAATGTCCTCTTTTCCCCTCTGGTTAGGAACACATGAAAAGTCAATTAAGCAGCACAGTTTGTTCTGTAAGTTAAGTTAGTGTGTAAGGCAGTTTGGGCACTGTTTATGGAAATGAAAAGTCTTTGCCCGGTTTTGACTCCTTTACAGAAGTCTCTTGCTGTGACAGGCTGGAAAATGAACTAGAGGAGAATGTGGGTGCTCCACATAGGGACTTGGTCAAGAAACTTGGCCAGGAAGCAGAAGCATGGCGCTGCATAAGCGCCATGTGCCTGGGGCCGAGGGCCAGCCTTCAGTAGAAAGTCTCTTAATTCTGAGTGACTTTGCCTTGAACCAAGCTGACAATAAAGAAATTCCAAAGAAACAGCCCCTTAAGCCCAAATGAAGGCAGATTTCAGTGACATACAAGAATGGACCACTGAGGGACCAGGCCAAGGCCCTTCCTCTCTGCAGCTTCAGTAGAAGCCCTAAAAGCAGGTATGCCCTGGCTTCCCCGAGACAGCGTAGAAGGCAACATCCCGGCTGCCCCTGGCAAGCGCATGTGCACACACACGCACACGCGTGCGCACACACATGCTGCTTGTTATTCACAAAAACAACCCACTGACTCCCGATAATATCTGTGGTATTCTCCCTACTGTCACATCTGATTGAAATCTCTCCCACGAGGGCAGCAATTCTCCAACTATCTCACAATTTTCAATCAGAAGTTCTACAAGCATAGAAACCACATGACCCCCAAATCGTACTTCTAAATATTCGCCCAAGAGAAGTGAAGTTGTACATGAACGTTCATAGCAGCTTTATTCATAACAGATTGTAAATCCTCTTTAAAAACTGAAGCTAATTTACTTCAAAACCAGAATTAAGTTTTTCTTCGAACTGTCTATGGGAATACATATTGGCAGAGTGTCTGAAGGTGCTTCTGGGGTCAGCTGTCATGCTCACAAATGTCCAGGAACCCTAAAGCACTGCCCTGGCCTGGGTTTCCTGTAGAAACAAGCAAGTGGACGAGCAGTTGCAAGAGCCTCTCCAGAAGGCCCAACTTCTCTTTGGTTTTCTACTCAAAATATTCTTCTGTCTTTAGTATCAAAATCCATGTGTTCACCATCTGGGTCCTCAGTGCCAGGGTGCTGAGGGGCAGGTGCCCAGCTCAGCAGCATCATGTGCATTACCTCTTGATCTTCATGATGTAACGAGACAGTGGGTTATGTTATACGGATTTTGCGGATGAGAAAACCAATCCCCACAAAGGAGAAGTAACTAGCTCAAGGCCACACAGCTGGTGAGTCTTGGGCTGGGATTGAACTCACGTGGTCCAATTCCCGTAGTCGCTACAGTTGCCGCCTCACAGGCGGAATGAACCACTGAGGATGATCTCCGAGCTGCACCGAAGGGGAGTATGAAGGCCTCCTCCCAAGAGGGTATACACTGCAGAGTACTGCTCTGCCAGCTTGGCCAGGCTGTATTTCCTGCCCTGCAGTGTGTGTGTCACCCGGCCTCCACACACAGGAACGGCCTCACCCATCAGCTGGCCTTAGTGCCCTCCTGGGATGCCCACACCAAGAGACGGGGTTTTAAAAGCCTGGAGCTCTAACCTTCACAAGTACTGGGTAATTCCTCGTAATAGCCCTACGTAGTAGGTTCTGTTAGCAGCCCTCACGTAACAGGCCAGAAGATGGAAAACATAAAGGGGTAAAGAAACTTCCCCATCATCTCCAGCTAGTAAGGGGCAAAATCAGATCTAACATCCAGACCTTTTTCTGACACCAGAGCTAAGCTCTAATCTCTGTCTTCTCAGAAGTTAGAGAAATAAGCCGGGGGGAAATGCTGGTGCAAGAAAATAAGGTCTTAGCTCCTTTGCAATAGAATAGCCACTTCCGGGTTCAGTGGCAAAGCAGTGGTGGGACCAGAGGCTGCTGGCAGCAACCCCTCAGGTCAGGCCACAAACAAGAGGGGGAGCAGCCAATTGGAGGAAGGCTTTAATCACAGTCCTGGTTCTGAGCCTATAGCAAAGCCAGCAGCAGGTCCCTACTCTGCCCCAGGGCTAAGAAATTCCCACTGGGCTAGCCCAGCCCTCTGCGTCCCCGCAGCACATCTCCACCCCCATCTTCTGGAGATGGGCACTCTCCCACTGGGAACCATGGGGACTTCCTAATCAGATTAATTTTGGTCAATAATCTGGTTGGGAAGCTCTGATGAGCTTAGTGAGAAACTCATTCCAAATCTAATACAGATCTTCCTCCACTTACGATGGGGTTAGGTCCTGATAAACCCGTCCTAAGTTGAAAATATCTTAAGTGGAAAATGCATTTAATACACCTAACCTACCCAACATCACAGCTTAGCCTAGACTACCTTGCCTTACACTTACCTTAGCCTGCAGTTGGCCAAAATCATCTACTATGAAGCCTATTTTATAACAAAATGTTAATTATATCATGTAATGTATTGAATATTGTATTAAAGGTGAAAAGCAAATGGTTATCCGGGTCCAGAATGATTTGTAAAACTGATGGGTTGTTCACCCTCCATGATGGGGCAGCTGACAGCAAGCTGGGGCTGCACTGCCCGTGCCCAGCATCACAAAGGAATACCGGCACATCCCTAGTCCGGGGAAAAGGCCCAAAGTCAAAATGCAAGGTCCAGTTTCTACTGATCACTTCCGCACCATCATAAGGTCAAAACATCCTAAGTTGCACCATCCTACATCAGTGAGAACCGTCTGCGGTTCATTGCTAACAAGAAGTCCTCCCCTGCGCTTTCAGCGCACAGAGAAACTGCTGCCTCCCATCCTTGCGCGCATTATTCCTCACAGCACGACCACACCCAGCACACACTCCTTCCTCTTGCCTTTGGGGACAAGGCCGCTTTTCCTCCAGGCCCAGGGGAGGAGGAAGCCCCCTCCCCCCAGCCCTCCACCAGCCCACTCACTGGCTGCTGTCTGATGAGACAACCAGGCGGTTGTCTGCCTGGTCTAGCGTGAGACGCCGAGCGGGCCGGGAGAGGCCCGTTAGGGTAATAAATTATAAAGACGCAAGAAGCCTTCTGGCTAAGACGGTGACGCAGCAACAGAAACAAAACTGACGGCGGCTAGAAGAAAGGCGGCGAGGAGTCCCACCCCTCGGAGGCAGCCTTTTGCGCGGAGGATGCTGACCCCTGCTGGCCGCGCGCGGGGACGCAGCGTGGCTGCCGCCGAGACTGTGACAATGAGTCACCTCGGGAGGTGCTGAGCGGGGGAGGACCCTGCCTGGGGGCAGGGGGCCTGGAGGGGAGGGGAGGGAAAGGCAGGGACGCGGGCAGAGGCCCTGAGTTCTAGTCCTGCCCCCCACACCATCATCCAGTAACAGGGCTGGCAGCCCCTCCCAGCTCTCAGATGCCATCAACTCCTCGTGTTTTAGGATATAAGCAAGGAGGAAAAGGTAAGAGATATGCAGTATAAATGGCGCTAGTATCCCTCCAGGGCCTACCTGTGCCTCCAAAAAGCTTCCCGCGTTAGGGTCTTCCCCGGACCAGCCAATTCCAAGTCCAGAGCTAGTGAAGCCGCGTTGGTTTAACAGATGGTTACTGACTGGTGGGCTGCATAATGGCTGCCAAAGATAATCAGGTCCTAATCCCTGGAACCTGTGAATGTTACCTTATAAAGCAAAAGGGACTTGACAGGTGTGATTAAGTTAAGGTTGTTGAGATGGGGAGAGTACCCTGGATTCCTCAGGTGGGTCTTAAATGTTATCACAAGCATCCTTTAAGGAGGGAGAAGGAGATTTTACTACAGCAGAAAAAGAAAACCATATTACAAAGGAAGCAGAGAGAGAGATTTAAGATGGTACTCAGCTCATTTTGAAGATGGAGTCATGGACCACAGAATGCAAAAAAGGCAGCTCTAAAAACTGGAAAAGACAAGGAAATGGATTCTCCCCCGGAGGCTCTGCTGACACTTCGATTTTGGCTCCATGAAACTGATGGCAGATTTCTGGTCTCCAGAACTGTAAGAGAATAAATGTGTGTTGTTTTTAAGCCACCACGTTTGTGGTAATTGGTTACAGCAGCCATCAGAAACGAATACATGACCTTCTCCTCTCAAACTCTTGTGCTGGGTGCTTGGGATAAAGCAGTTAATGAGCAGGACAGAAAATCCACTTCCACCCCTAGAAATGTTTATAATCTCCCTCTCTTGGGATTTGGAAAAGCAACAGCCAAAAAGTCATTAATCTTCTGTGGTGCAATATATAACCAATAAGCACATGGAAGATGCTCAAGATCATTAGCATTAGGGAGGGCAGGGATCATTAAAACCATGGTGAGATACCACTGCTATGATGGTAGGAGAGCTATGATGGGAGAGACAATAATAAGCTTTGGCAAGGATGTGGAAAAACTGGAATCCTCATGTGTTACTGATGGGATTGTAAAATGATGTAACCACTTTGGAAAATAGCTTGCCAGTTTCTTAAAAAGTTAGACATAAATTACCAGTTGACCCAGCAATTCCACTCCCAGAAATCAAATTACCAGTTGACCCAGCAATTCCACTCCCAGAAATCTGCCCAGGAAAAATGAACATTCATATCCAAAGACATGGACATGAATGTTCACAGCTGCATTACTGATAATAGCCAAAACCTGGAAATAACTGAGAAGTTCAACAGTGAATGAAAATGTGGTATACACGATGAAATATTATTCTGTAAGTGCCAACCAACTCTGTTGACACATCTGCTCCATCACCACAGAGCTCCATGCCAGTTTTACACTCGTTCACATCAAAAACCAGGAGAAATAGACTGCTCTGGTTAGCCTCACTATCTAGTCCCTTTTGCCACACTATCTTCCAGACTATTCCAATGACTCTTCCTCTGTCCTTCCCTCTCTTGCTGGTCTCCATGCTGCTCTCTGAACGCATCAAGCACAACTCTGCCTCAGGACCTCAACGCCATCTGGAATCCTCTTACCCCGATGGCTAGCTTCATGGCTCACTCCTCTCAATGAGGCTTTCCCTTACCACCTTTTAAAGACCCTAATAACACCACCCCTTTTCTATCCTCCTTTCCCTGATTTTTCTCCATGGAACTTATAAAGTCCATAGTTTTGTCTGTCTCCTGGCTAGACTGTAAAGTCCATAAGGAAAGGGATTAGTCTTTTAGGTTCACTACTGAATCCCCGGGACCCAGGACAATGCCTGATCCACAGAGGGAATGTGATAAAATATATGACATAAATGGATGAATTCATAGCCAACTCTTCCTTGGGCTTGGGTACAAGCATAACTTTTCCATGATGAAGACTGAGAGGGGGCCTGCTCTCCACAGTAAATGACATAGACTAGCACTAGGGACTTGCAATTCACTTGATTCTGGCTGAAGCACGCCTAATCCTCCAAGCACAGTAAGTACCGACTGCCACCAATAGCCAAAAGACCCATCCATACCTTTGAGGAAGGGCCATCTTTTCTCTGCCTCATGGGTTCCTAGAGCATCCTGGATGAGGGTCCTTAGCTGGTAAGACAGGAAATTAGTCACACCTACCGTCTGAGACTGTAAGTGTCGCCAGAAAACCTATGTGACATTCACAGCATCTCTTCTAGGAATATTTTAGAAGGGAGAAAAAAAACACAACCTAAATACCTCTTGGTAGAGAAATGTTAGCTTTTAAAGAGTCTAAGGCTAAACAATTTAGTTATGAAACTATATTGTAGACTGTTGAATTCATTTAGTTTCTTATTTAAACTCACATCTTTTCCATCAAGTAAGAAGTCTTGGTTCATGTCTATATGAAAATTCCTCTCTCTCATGAAAATTTAGCACAAGGAGGTGGTTTTTAACCACACTCTTCCTGGGACATGAGTGATATCAGTGGTTCTGGCCACAGTTCATTGTGTTTTACCAGGTTGTTCTCCCGTTTACTACAAGGGAAGGGAAAGCTTCGTGAAGATCTCGGTTGACACTCTGGTTTTAACCCTTGATGGGGTTTTTCCCTTTAATTTGGGCACTTGGACATAATAGAAATGAATTAGGCTTTTTCCCTTGCAAATGGAGTAACCACACATTAACATATCTTGAATAAAACAACTACACTTACAGAACATGTACTGTTCCATTCCAGTCAGCCTGCCTTCATTTGGGGCTGAATAGAGTCTTTTCTTCCTAAGAGCTGTAAACAAAAGTAGAGATTGTGTGAGACCACCTTTACTCTTTATTACAGCTGGTCAAGACTCAACACATTCCTATGATTATGGAGGCTGCCTTCAGCTCCGGAACATAATGGAATGATGCCCCCAAAAATGACCCGGTGCACCGCAGCGTTAGGTAGATAGCTGTTGCTTATCTCTAACAGGATTGTCCTTTTCTGAACAAACTTTCTTCAAAAATAAAAATGAAAGGCAACTAGTTTCAGGAAGAACTGCTAAGTGACAATTATCATTAAAGTCAAGTCTTCCTGAAAAAAAGTAAAAAAACTCATTGTCTTCTGTTCCCACTTTTGGTTTGATTTGACTACTTTTAGCATGTGCTGCAGATCTCCTCTTTAGTTATGAAAGAAAAAAGGAAAACTCACAAGGCCACGGCCCACACGCTCCTGTGTGTGCACCCATTTTTCACATGGAGTGTTCACCACTATACTTATGTGCACACAGGTTTGTAGATTTTTTTAAACTTGTATTGCTATAGTCTTTTAGCAGCTATAAAGGAGTCCATCATGTACAGGGTACCATGATTTATTTGACCCATATGATTTCAACATTCATATTTCTTTTATTATAATAATCCTGTGAGAAATATGTTGGTATATGAGTTTAACAAGTAATATCTTTCTGAGATTTCTAGAAGTTGGATATGTGGGTTTGAGAGCCATTTGTTTTGGGTTCTTGATATGTCTGTTACCCTGTTTTCCAGAAGGTACATGGCAATTTATAGCCCTATAAGTAATGTCTTATAACCACTAACACTCTGTAACATGTATTACATGCCATGCCCTGTTCTAAGCTCTTCATAGAAACTCATTTAATCTTTATAACAATCTTATGAGGTAGGTGCTATTATTGTTCCCATTTTATAGAAGAGGAAACTGAGGCACAGAAGCTATGCCAGATCTTTTTACAGGAGGAAAATTCGTTTGAGGAAGCATAAGTTTTGTCAACTGAAGGTGAACAATGAGGGGCACCAGAGTTGCCACAATCACTGATGTCTGTTACAGCAAAAGACTGTATCCACCTGAACTGTGAGGAGATAAGGAGTGTGGGATGGGTGGGGGCGGGTCCTTTGTACCGTCTAAGTAGCTATGGTCCTTCCCCAAACCAGCTCAGAGATTTGGCAATAATGCAGGTAGTAGTAGTATTCCTAGTCAATTAGGTCTCAGCAAGTGAGTAACATTTAGAACTAGAATCTTTGTTAAACTCACATGTGGATTTCACAGAGCTAAGAAAGCAGATTTGGAATGGACACTTTGTCCAAAAACCTAGGAGGGACTCATCTGGGACTAGAGCCTAATCACCTAAACGGTCTGACACCTCCCCGTCATGCCTGGTGCCCCTCAGTTGTGTTCCCTGATCCCAGCCAGAAGGTGGGCCAGCAAGTCAGGATGTAGGAGAAGGTTTCCCACCTGGGTAAGAGCCAAAAGCCAGGAGTAGGGGAGAAGGGGGGAGTAAAGTGGCGGGGAGAGGGAGAAAATGAGAATGTGCAGGGGGTGGAGATTCCTACCAGGGACTGTTGACCTTGTCACCAGAATAAGAAGGGTCGACGGGCACACAGCCACTTAGTTCAATCTTCAGCTTACCTCCGGCTTAATTTCTCTCCCCACAGATTTTAATACGTTGGAAGAGTCCCCACTCAAAGGCTCTTTCAGGTGCTCTGACTTAACCATCACCTTAACCAAGACATCTGCCTGAGTGGGGAGGGAGGGAACATATCAACAAAACATACCGACAATGCTTCAACCTCACAAGCCCCTTTGGGACTTTTACCCCCCGAACTGACATAAAGCACATTCTCATTGCTTGCATTGATGTTTGAGTTTACACTAGACTTGGGAATGGATTCTGAGACAATGGCCCTGGGTGATGTTGCTATTCAGGTTAAGCCTGTTAAACAAAACCTTAGACATTATGCTAAATATACTAAATATATTTTTAAAATATATATTATAAATACTAAAATATACTTTAAAAAAATGTATTGTTTAGGGGCTTCCCTGGTGGCACAGTGGTTGAGAGTCTGCCTGCCAATGCAAGGGATGCGGGTTCGTGCCCCGGTCCGGGAAGATCCCACATGCCGCGGAGCGGCTGGGCCTGTGAGCCATGGCCGCTGAGCCTGCGCGTCCGAAGCCTGTGCTCCGCAGCGGGAGAGGCCACAACAGTGAGAGGCCCGCATACCACAAAAAAAATAGCCACACCTGTGATACCAGATCTCATCTCCTAATCCCAATTACCTTCCATCCTCCAAAGCGGCCTCTTCATACTGACTACAAAGCAGCAAGAAAATAAACACTGTGATAGCTCTCAAGGCCAGAGCAGGAGAACAAGGCCATGAGACCAAGTTTTTGTGGCCCTCAAGCCCACTAAATGGTTAAAACAATCTCGAGTCAAAGTCTTGGAGCTCCGCAGTGTGAACTATTCTGAAGCCTGAAAGGCCAACTCAGTCAACTCCTGTTACTGACTTTGGGGCAGCTCCCTGTTTCCAGCTCTTCCCCCTCCAGACACTGTAGGATTATCCTTCCTGACCCTCTTGTTTTGGGGCATGCTTGTGTGACTACTCCCAGCCTATGAGTTCACTGCTGGGCCACAGCATTCAACTGCCAGTGCAAAGACAGACCCTGCGGAGCTCTTCCCCTCTAGCGAGGCATCCAAAGACCACCAGCTGGGTACCCCAGGGCCTCCTGTGAGCAGAGCCCACCTGCCAAATGGGATGGACTGTAGCCTGAGAGAGAAAAAAAAGTCTTCCTTTGTTTCTAAGCCACTGGGATGGTGGTGGCGTTTGTTACCGCAGTGTAACTTCGTGTACTCCGACTGATACAACTCCATTGTTAAATTCCTGAAAAGAATGGAGTTTCCCCCTCAACATTTCCTAGATCCTTCTCACACCACCTGGCATTGCCTAAGAGCTGACACCATCCCAACCCTTTTTCTTCCCTCTTTTTTTCTGATTGGGCTTAACGGCTTTATTTGAAATGAAAATGCCATAGAAGCCCAGCAGTTACTGAGAAACCAGCAGGAAGACCTCCTCCCGAGGTCTTAGACAACAGCTATTCCAGCAGCTGTAGCAAGAATCCAGTCTATGACTACCCTCAGTGAGCCACTGCCCTCTACCTTCAGAGGTGCAGGGCGCCACCCGCCCCGTGAGCCCAGAGCGGGGAAGAGCAGTTGAAGGGAGGGAGAAAGATATCATCAAGAACAAACTGAGATTTTTGTGCAGCCCTGTAGTTCAGTTCAATGTCTCCCTAGGAACGGCCCTCTGCTTGGTGAAACTGGTTCATTCCAGGCAGAGCAGACGCGGGGAATGAAATTCCATAAACAGCCTCCTGGAACAAGCACCTCTAGCCACAGATGTGCAGTCACTGTTCCCGACAGGTCCCGACGGGAAATGAACGGTGCTGTCTTATCTTAAAGGTTAACAAGTTGCTGCAGTTTTGTTTTTTGCTCTGTGAGTCATGGGGAAGTGACACTCTGCAGAGCACCCAGCAGACCCAGAATGTCCAAGTCATAGGGCTGTCGGGCAGTTGCCGGGCTTCCTTTCCATATGCTACACAATCACTTCACTGGAGGGAACCCGCCTATGCCCCCTGTACTCGGGGGGGCCCAGGGTACCCAGCACTTGCTCTTTTAGAGTAGAATCAGCTTCCCGGGCTCAGCACCAGGAACCCACCAACTTCAGACCGTGGGCTTCGGGGGAAGGAAGTGTAACTTAAATCTGATAGGATTCTAAAACCTAACGATTTGGAAGAGTTGGGTAGAGGGGATTCAAAAGATGGAATAAATACCATCTATTTTCCTGTAAGGTATTTGAGAAGGAATAACTGGTACTCATTCAACTCACTGGATCCCCATTGATGTAAATAAACAAGGCCCCCCAGAACTGAGAAAATGCCTCTAGAGCATTCATTAAGACCCTTCCCCTCACTCAAAGCCCTCCCTCATTAGGATTCCATAAAGTCTAAAAGCATTGAGTTTATCATTGTATTTCCTGAGGTTCCTAAACAGATACTGAAAGGAGAGGTAGCATTCATCCACCAGTTATAAGCTATGTGCCAAGAGCTTGCTGGGCCCTGGGGATACACGAGTGAACAAGTCAGGGGACGTGCCTTCGTGACACTGGCATTCCAGTGAGAGAGGCAGACGGTACACAAGAAAACTGCCGACAGCAATAAGTGCTCTGGAAGAACTGAATGGGGTGACGTGACAGTAACTGTTGATGGCATCTGAGCTGAGACCTAGAGGATGAAAAGGAGTTGGACAAGTAAGGAGCTATAGCCAGTGACAGAAGGCAGGTGATCTGGGAAGCTGGACTTGGTGAGGGACAGAGGACAGGTAAGTTTTGACCAACAGGACGAACCTCAGGCCCAGTTCTCTTAGGCCTGCCTCGCTGCAGGACGGCACTTAAAACCACGCCACAGCTCGAGGTGTTGGTCCCCGGGTCACCCTCCCACGTGTATGTGCACAGGATGCCAGCCCCTTGTGGCCCGTCCTCCCCACCGGCCTCTGTCCACACCCAAGGCTGAGATGGACAAGCCATCGATGGTCAAGTTCTTCACTCTGGCAGGGGAGGAAGCCTGTGGGTTTGTGCCTTGTGTCCTGGCCTTTGTGGAGCTCTGGGTGGGACAAGGGTATGGTCTCCAGCAGTACCTGCTGAGCGATTAGCCGTGAACCTACTGAGCAGGCCGCGGCCAGGTGACAACCTTGTGTTCTGCACTCTTGCCCTTCAAACCCGAAGGCTTGGACAGCAGGGGCTATTGAGAACATGAAATGTGGCTCGTGTGACTGAGGAACTAAATTTCTAACTTCACATTTTAATTAACTTTAATTTAGGTAGCCACACGTGGCTAGCAGTTACCATATTAGATAATGCAACATAGATTAAGATCAAGTACTTTTAGCAAAAGACAACAAAAGCCAATTGACACCCAAAGAATTACTGGAATTGTCAGATAAGCATAGTTGTGTG